TCTCTCTCTCCCCGTGTCTCTGTCTCTCTCCGTGTCTCTCTCCCCGTGTCTCTCTCTCCCCGTGTCTCTCTCCCCGTGTCTCTCTCTCTCCCCGTGTCTCTGCCTCTCCCTGTGTCTCTCTCTCCCCGTGTCTCTCTCCCCGTGTCTCTCTCTCTCCCCGTGTCTCTGCCTCTCCCTGTATCTCTCTCTCCCCGTGTCTCTCCGTGTCTCTCTCCCCGTGTCTCCGTGTCTCTCTCCCCGTGTCTCTGTGTCTCCCCGTGTCTCTCTGCCCGTGTCTCCCCGTGTCTCTCTCCCCGTGTCTCCCCGTGTCTCTCTCCCCGTATCTCCGTGTCTCTGTGTCTCTCTCTGTGTCTCTCTCTCTGTGTCTCTCTCTCCCCGTGTCTCTCTCCCCGTGTCTCTCTCCCCGTGTCTCTCTCCCCGTGTCTCTCCGTGTCTCTCTCCCCGTGTCTCTGTGTCTCCATGTCTCTCTCCCCGTGTCTCCCCGTGTCTCTCTCCCCGTGTCTCCCCGTGTCTCCGTGTCTCTCTCCCCCCGTGTCTCTCTCTCCGTGTCTCCGTGTCTCACCGTATTTAAGTTGATCGCTGGTTGGAGGCTGCGGTTCAAGCTGAGCTGAGAAAGAGAATTATAGCAACAACTCACTCACCACTCACTCACCACTCACTCACCACTCACTCACTCACCACTCACTCACCACTCACTCACCACTCACTAACCACTCACTCACCACTCACCACTCACTCACCACTCACTCACTCACTCACCACTCACTCACTCACCACTCACTCACCACTCACTCACTCACCACTCACTCACCACTCACTCACCACTCACTCACCACTCACCACTCACTCACCACTCACTCACTCACTCACCACTCACTCACCACTCACTCACCACTCAACACTCACTCACCACTCACTCACTCACCCACTCACTCACTCACTCACCCACTCACTCACCCACTCACCCACTCACTCACCCACTCACTCACTCACCCACCCACTCACTCACTAACTCACTCACTCACCACTCACTCACTCACTACTCACTCACCCACCACTCACTCACTCACTCACCACTCACTCACTCACTACTCACTCACCCACCACTCACTCACTCACTACTCACTCACCACTCACCCACTCACTCACCACTCACTCACTCACCCACTCACCCACTCACCCACTCACTCACCCACTCACTCACTCACTCACCCACTCACTCACCCACTCACTCACTCACCCACCCACTCACTCACTAACTCACTCACTCACCACTCACTCACTCACTACTCACTCACCCACCACTCACTCACTCACTACTCACTCACCACTCACCCACTCACTCACCCACTCATCCACTCACTCACACACTAACCCAGCCACTCACCCACCCACTCACCACTCACTCACCACTCACTAACTCACCCACTCACTCACCACTCACTCACTCACCACTCACTCACCACTCACTCACCACTCACTCACCACTCACTCACTCACTCACCACTCACTCACCCACTCACTCACCCACCACTCACCCAACCACCCACTCACTCACTCACCCACTCACTCACTCACTCACCCACTCACTCACTCACCCAATCACTCACCACTCACTCACCACTCACTCACCACTCACTCACCACTCACTCACCACTCACCACTCACTCACTCACTCACCACTCACTCACCACTCACTCACCACTCACCACTCACTCACCACTCACTCACCACTCACTCACTCACCACTCACTCACTCACCCACTCACTCACCACTCACCCACTCACTCACTCACCACTCACTCACCACTCACTCACTCACTCACCACTCACTCACCACTCACCCACTCACTCACCACTCACTCACCCACTCACTGTCACCCACTCACTCACCACTCACTCGCCACTCACTCACCACTCACTCACCACTCAATCACTCACTCACCACTCACTCACTCACTCACCACTCATTCACCACTCACTCACCCAGCCACTCACCCACTCACCACTCACTCACTCACCACTCACTCACTCACTCACCACTCACTCACTCACTCACCCACCCACCCACCCACTCACTCACCACTCACTCACTTACTCACTCACTCACCACTCACCCACTCACTCACTCACTCACCCACCCACCCACCCACTCACTCACCACTCACTCACTTACTCACTCACTCACCACTCACCCACTCACCCACCCACTCACCACTCACTCACTCACCCACTCACTCACCCACCCACTCACTCAACCACTCATCCACCCACTCACTCACCCACTCACTCACCCACCCACTCACTCACCCACCATTCCACCCACCCACCCACCATTCCACCCACCATTCCACCCACCATTCCACCCACCTTGCTGAACGGCTATCTGCTCAAAGCTGCCCAGCTGATGTCGAAGTTGCTTCCTCTCGGCCGGCTGCAGCTGATAGACGAATTCTCACCACTCACTCACCACTCACTCACCACTCACTCACCACTCACTCACTCACCACTCACTCACCACTCACTCACTCACTCACCCACCCACTCACCCACTCACTCACCACTCACTCACCACTCACTCACCACTCACTCACTCACCACTCACCCACCACTCACTCACTCACTCACCCACTCACTCACTCACTCACCCACTCACTCACAACCCACTCACTCACTCACTCACCACTCACTCACCACTCACCACTCACTCACTCACTCACCCACCCACTCACTCACTCACCCACCCACTCACTCACTCACCCACCCACCTACCCACTCACTCACTCACCCACTCACTCACTCACCTACCCACCCACTCACCCACCCACCAACCCACCTACCCACCCACCCACTCACCCACCTACCTACCCACTCACTCACTCACCCACTCACTCACTCACCCACTCACTCACTCAACCACTCATCCACCCACTCACTCACCCACTCACTCACTCACCTACCCACCCACCCACTCACTCACTCACTCACCCACTCACCCACCTACCCACTCACCCACCCACCATTCCACCCACCATTCCACCCACCATTCCACCCACCTTGCTGAACGGCTATCTGCTCAAAATGCCCAGCTGATGTCGAAGCTGCTTCCTCTCAGCCGGCTGCAGCTGATAGACGAATTCTCACCACTCACTCACTCACTCACCACTCACTCACCACTCACTCACTCACTCACCACCCACTCACTCACTCACTCACCCACTCACCCACTCACTCACCACCCACTCACTCACTCACTCACCCACCCACTCACTCACCCACTCACTCACTCACCCACTCACTCACCCACTCACTCACTCACCCACTCACTCACTCACTCACCCACCCACTCACCACTCACTCACTCACCACTCACTCACTCACCCACTCACTCAACCACCCACTCACCCACTCACTCACTCACCCACCCACTCACTCACTCACCCACTCACTCACTCACTCACCCACCCACCTACCCACTCACTCACTCACCCACTCACCCACTCACTCACCCAGCCACCCACCCACCCACCTACCCACTCACCCACCCACCATTCCACCCACCATTCCACCCACCATTCCACCCACCTTGCTGAACGGCTATCTGCTCAAAGCTGCCCAGCTGATGTCGAAGTTGCTTCCTCTCAGCCGGCTGCAGCTGATAGACGAATTCTCACCACTCACTCACCACTCACTCACCACTCACTCACCACTCACTCACCACTCACTCACCACTCACTCACTCACCCACTCACTCACCCACCCACTCACTCACTCACCACTCACCCACTCACTCACCCACTCACTCAACCACTCATCCACCCACTCACTCACCCACTCACTCACCTACCCACCCACCCACTCACTCACTCACTCACCCACCCACCCACTCACTAACCCACTCACTCACTCACCCACCCACTCACTCACTCACCCACTCACCCACTCACCCACCCACTCACTCACTCACTCACCCACCCACTCACCCACTTACTAACCCACCCACTCACCCACCCACTCACTCACCCACTCACTCACCCACCCACTCACCCACCCACCATTCCACCCACCATTCCACCCACCTTGCTGAACGGCTATCTGCTCAAAGCTGCCCAGCTGATGTCGAAGCTCCTTCCTCTCGGCCGGCTGCAGCTGATAGACGAATTCTCACCACCCACTCACCACTCACTCACCACTCAATCACCCACTCAATCACTCACCCACCAACCCACCTACCTACCCACCCACTCACTCACCCACTCACTCACTCACTCACCCACTCACCTACCCACTCACTCACTCACCCACTCACTCACTCACCTACCCACCCACCCACTCACTCACTCACTCACCCACTCACCCACCCACCCACCATTCCACCCACCTTGCTGAACGGCTATCTGCTCAAAGCTGCCCAGCTGATGTCGAAGCTCCTTCCTCTCGGCCGGCTGCAGCTGATAGACGAATTCTCACCACTCACTCACCACTCACTCACTCACTCACCACTCACTCACCACTCACTCACCACTCACTCACCACTCACTCACCACCCACTCACTCACCCACCCACTCACTCACTCACCACTCACCCACCCACCCACTCACTCACTCACCCACTCACCCACTCACTCAACCACTCAACCACTCACTCACCCACCCACTCACCCACTCACCCACCCACCCACCATTCCACCCACCATTCCACCCACCATTCCACCCACCTTGCTGAACGGCTATCTGCTCAAAGCTGCCCAGCTGATGTAGAAGCTCCTTCCTCTCAGCCGGCTGCAGCTGATAGACGAATTCTCACCACCCACTCACCACTCACTCACCACTCAATCACCCACTCAATCACTCACCCACCAACCCACCTACCTACCCAACCACCCACTCACCCACTCACTCACTCACTCACCCACCCACCTACCCACTCACTCACTCACCCACTCACTCACTCACCTACCCACCCACCCACTCACTCACTCACTCACCCACCCACCATTCCACCCACCATTCCACCCACCTTGCTGAACGGCTATCTGCTCAAAGCTGCCCAGCTGATGTCGAAGCTCCTTCCTCTCGGCCGGCTGCAGCTGATAGACGAATTCTCACCACTCACTCACCACTCACTCACCACCCACTCACTCACCCACTCACCCACCCACTCACCCACTCACTCACTCACTCACCACTCACTCACCACTCACTCACTCACTCACCCACTCACTCACTCACCCACTCACCCACCCACTCACTCACCCACCCACTCACCCACTCACCCACTCACTCACTCACCCACTCACCCACTCACCCACTCACCCACCCACTCACCCACTCACTAACCCACCCACTCACTCACCCACCCACTCACTCACTCACTCACCCACTCACCCACCCACTCACTCACCCACTCACTCACCCACCCACTCACCCACCCACCATTCCACCCACCATTCCACCCACCTTGCTGAACGGCTATCTGCTCAAAGCTGCCCAGCTGATGTCGAAGCTCCTTCCTCTCGGCCGGCTGCAGCTGATAGACGAATTCTCACCACCCACTCACCACTCACTCACCACTCAATCACCCACTCAATCACTCACCCACCAACCCACCTACCTACCCACCCACTCACTCACCCACTCACTCACTCACTCACCCACTCACCTACCCACTCACTCACTCACCCACTCACTCACTCACCTACCCACCCACCCACTCACTCACTCACTCACTCACCCACTCACCCACCCACCCACCATTCCACCCACCTTGCTGAACGGCTATCTGCTCAAAGCTGCCCAGCTGATGTCGAAGCTCCTTCCTCTCGGCCGGCTGCAGCTGATAGACGAATTCTCACCACTCACTCACCACTCACTCACTCACTCACCACTCACTCACCACTCACTCACCACTCACTCACCACTCACTCACCACCCACTCACTCACCCACCCACTCACTCACTCACCACTCACCCACCCACCCACTCACTCACTCACCCACTCACCCACTCACTCAACCACTCAACCACTCACTCACTCACCCACTCACCCACTCACCCACCCACCCACCATTCCACCCACCATTCCACCCACCATTCCACCCACCTTGCTGAACGGCTATCTGCTCAAAGCTGCCCAGCTGATGTAGAAGCTCCTTCCTCTCAGCCGGCTGCAGCTGATAGACGAATTCTCACCACCCACTCACCACTCACTCACCACTCAATCACCCACTCAATCACTCACCCACCAACCCACCTACCTACCCAACCACCCACTCACCCACTCACTCACTCACTCACCCACCCACCTACCCACTCACTCACTCACCCACTCACTCACTCACCTACCCACCCACCCACTCACTCACTCACTCACCCACCCACCATTCCACCCACCATTCCACCCACCTTGCTGAACGGCTATCTGCTCAAAGCTGCCCAGCTGATGTAGAAGCTCCTTCCTCTCAGCCGGCTGCAGCTGATAGACGAATTCTCACCACTCACTCACCACTCACTCACCACCCACTCACTCACCCACTCACCCACCCACTCACCCACTCACTCACTCACTCACCACTCACTCACCACTCACTCACTCACTCACCCACTCACTCACTCACCCACTCACCCACCCACTCACTCACCCACCCACTCACCCACTCACCCACTCACTCACTCACCCACTCACCCACTCACCCACTCACCCACCCACTCACCCACTCACTAACCCACCCACTCACTCACCCACCCACTCACTCACTCACTCACCCACTCACCCACCCACTCACTCACCCACTCACTCACCCACCCACTCACCCACCCACCCACCATTCCACCCACCTTGCTGAACGGCTATCTGCTCAAAGCTGCCCAGCTGATGTAGAAGCTCCTTCCTCTCGGCCGGCTGCAGCTGATAGACGAATTCTCACCACCCACTCACCACTCACTCACCACTCAATCACCCACTCAATCACTCACCCACCAACCCACCTACCTACCCAACCACCCACTCACCCACTCACTCACTCACTCACCCACCCACCTACCCACTCACTCACTCACCCACTCACTCACTCACCTACCCACCCACCCACTCACTCACTCACTCACCCACTCACCCACCCACCCACCATTCCACCCACCTTGCTGAACGGCTATCTGCTCAAAGCTGCCCAGCTGATGTAGAAGCTCCTTCCTCTCGGCCGGCTGCAGCTGATAGACGAATTCTCGCGCTCCGTCCGGTGATGACAGGGCCTGGTTCGGTCGCCCCGGTCCCTCCCGGCTCGCGAACGATCGCGCGCACGAAACTCCTCCACCTCCACCACCGCGGCCATCGCCGCCACCACCAACTCCACCACCACCACCACCACCAACTCCACCACCACCAACTCCACCACCACCACCACCAACAACTCCACCACCACCAACAACTCCACCACGTCCACCAAGTCCAGCAAGTCCGCTACGATGTGCACCACCGCTGCTGTGGCTGTGGTGGTGGTG